CTGATTAGTAAATTTAATTTTCAAAAGCTTTTCGGTAGAAATTCTTATCGAAAAACCAAAGATTTATCTCAAACTTTTAGTTGCCGCTAATTGTAGCGCTCATTGAGATATATTTTTATTATTAGATATTAATATTTGGATAAATTTTTTTTGTAATAATTCCACTTGGTTTCTTTTAGAAAAAAAACAAACTAAATGACGGTTTAGTCAGTTCAACGAAAAATTGTAGAAAATCGTTTATTAATCAATGTATTTATTATTTGAATAAGACTAAATATTTTCAATTGTATGCAAAAAGACATTTCTATTAACTGTGTTTAGAGTCTTATTAGTAATTTTTGTCTTTTTTTTTGAAATATTTAAAAAAAAAAAACATTCTAATTTGTTTGTTTAGAATAATGAAGAAGATAATCGATTATTTCCGAAATTAAATTATTTAAAATTGACAGTAAATGATCAATGTTCATTTGATTGTTTTAAATTACTTTCAAAATTAGTTCATCTAAAAAATTTAGAAAAACTCGTATTAATAATATGTTCTCGTGGCTTTTATCTTAGTTTAATGATAAAACGTTTTTTAAATTTCGTAAAAGATTTGTCAAATCTTAATTCAATTGAAATATTTAATCGATGGCATGGAATTTTTTCATTTATTGATATTTATGATTTTTGTTCAATGATTCCACATAATATAAAACATCTCGATATTGATATATTTGATATAGATAATATTGAAATTCTTATTGATAAACTGGAACATGTATCAAGTTTTAAATTTAAATTTGCATTTGATAAATCACGTTATTTAAAACAAATTCTTGAATTATTAGCAAAGAAAAAAATTAATTCAACACATATATCAGATATTCATTATTTATCTATTTGGATTTCAAAACAATTTAATCAAACAAATTATAATAAACGTATCAAATTAACGAATTAATTCTTTTCTTTTTCTTTCAAATTTTTTCTTTTATTTTCAAATAAACAACTATATTTAACGAAATTAAATAGAATTCAACATAAAAATATTTACGACAGGTATTCAACAACTTAGAAAACCATTTGGAAAATAAATGCTAAATTTGACTTTTATTCTTTGCGAGATCGACTGTGCTTTTTAGCATAGTTTAGCAAACAAAAACCATAAAATACTGAAACTTCATTGGAAAAGCCAAAAATTTTCCGAGACTGACATTCACATTGACAATTCTGTTTGTCGTTTGAAATGCCTATGAAAATTTATCTAGGTGTGGTAATAGCATATTTTTACAGAATATAGCAGCAAAGAAAACAGTAGGCTGCAAAACCTCAAGAAATTTGAAGAGATTTCAAATGCTAGAAGACCAATTGTCTCGTCATATTTTTGTGTTAGCTGTCAATAAATAAAATTTGTCTTATAATCTAAAGATTTTTCTTCATAGACAAAAAGAAATGAATACATGTTCACATAGTGAAACGTCATATAGAGAAGGTGAAGGGGAAAAGGCGTTATTCCAGGAGAACTAAGAGAAAAACAAATCTAACATTCGGTGAACTTTTATAATTTTATCCTCTTTGAGCAATGAAATTCATTTTAAACCTTGAAAAAATAAGTCACTATACCTTATGAATGTTCAGTTATAGACTCAAATAAATAGAGAAGAATAGAAAAAACTGTTTCATAATAAAAATATCGAGAGAATATTCATAATTACCGAATTTGTATAGATTTCAGCTGGATCGATCAAATTTTTTCTTTAGTTCACTATTTTGCAATATAGGCATCCTGTCAATCTTTAGGGACAAGAGTGAAAGACACAAATCACGCGTTTTCGAAAAGATATTTTTATAGTTTGAGAGTCATCTTATATACTATTCAATAGAAAATTTAATTGTAAACAAGAGCGTATCAATGTTTTAAATTAATAATCAAAAATTGATTAAAAAGAGGTGGGCATATCGTCATTTTGAGCTCATGAGCTGACTGTCTCGAAACCTTGTGCATCTTCCTTTTTCACTATTTGATTCAGATTCGGAGACATTTTTTCAGCATCAATAGCAATTATTAAGAATTAACAAAACAGAGGTTTGAAAAAAGCTATCTTTTTTTCCATTATATACAAGGTGCCATCGAAAATTGAGGAGACAATATTGTAATATTTGTGACTGGATAAATATGATTTCTATTACTTTCTTCAGAGCTTGAATAATTAGTTTTATCGAAGTTGCATAAGAAATGTTATAGAATTATAATATTTGTTTTTTATTATTCTTCTTATTAGTCCTTTATCATTATGAAACAGAGTAAAGAAAATCATCATCTACGTCGGATGATTCAACATAGTCATGCACTAAGTCACTCTCGTCAAGACGTTTCACGTAAGAACCAGATGGTTGATTTGTCGAAGTATTATTACAGTGACGTTAGTATCCCTAAAACAAGAGCGTATCGACTCGACGTGAACATGCACTAAATTTTTGGTCGCCAACTGGGCAATTGCAGCAGCTATTTTCGATTTGTTTTTCATTAAACTCGATATATGTGTAATATATCTGCTATTTACTACGACAAGATTTGAACTGATTTCAAATAAATTGAGATCAGTGTGACAAATTTATAGTGAAAAAGCAGTATAGTCGTTCAAAATTGATATACTCCTGAAGAAGTGAGCAAGAAGACGTAGGCTAGAGGATTTACTTGCGAAAATAAATATAAGCTTTTTAAAAGAAAAATAATTTATGCGAATAAAATGCCTAAGTTACTGGCAAGTCTGTGTGCATCCTTAAATGGCTATTTTTAATGCGAATTGTTGCTGCTTGCAAACAATGCATTCGATAGAAAGAAAATAACTTTCTAATCAAATCATTTACATAACAGATTTTCTAACTATTGCATTGTGCGGAAACGTCAATTTACGTTTACTTTTATCAGTGAAATTAATGAAAGAATTTTCCTCAAAGAACAAGAATGGTCTTTTCTTCATCTAAGTTTTCTCAAGATAAATATTAAATCACTTTTTTCCAATTTTCAAATGAAGATTATATAGTTGTTTTATCGACAGATTTTTTCTTTTTTAATTTGCGGGAAAAGTAAATTTGTTCAGCTATGTCTATAACAAACGTAATACCGCTACATACTCTCTTTTAAAAAAGTGCTAGAAGGAATCATTCATGATTTTAGGCAATATACTAAACGTTTAAGGGTTTTATTCATTTATTAATAAACCATCAAAATTTCTAGCTGATTTAAAGAATAATGTCAACTAAAAATTGGTTCGAGATGTGCAGAAGATTTGGAGAAAATGTTAAGAGTATAGTAGAGAGGTTATGGTAAAATTTTCAGCCCTATACCATGATGTATGACAGAGAAGTTTACCGAATCAAGTGGTCAAAAATAGTTCATTCGGCAAACAAAATTGCTCTGTTCAGGCTTATTTATTGTTTGAAAGAACATGTTTGGCTGGAGCGCAGTACATAGCCCTTTTTTAAAATTCCTATTTTTTTAACGGAGGAAAAGCAAATAAAACTTAACGAAAAAAAAAGAACTCTGTACTGCGCTCCATCTCGACATGCTTTTTCAAACAAAAAAAAAACCAATAAATATATTGAATGAAGCTCTTTTGAGAGTTCGGGATTGTGCGATCAAAAATGTATGAACTGAGAAAAAAAGCGACAAATTTGCAATCAAATAGTATCATCATTCTCTGCAGCCTCTTAATCTCATCATTATTAAATCGTTAAACATTAACAAAAAGCACTTAAACTTAATAATAACATCTAATGGATGCGTCTATCATTAGTTTTATCTTTAGCAAAACCGAATCTTTTTATTCATCTCATTGACAATTAAAATTTTAGCTCTATTACTTTGACAAAAGTGATTTTTCTTTTCGATTTGTTTCAATGAACAAATAAATGGTAAGGCTTCTTTAATAATGAGGTTTATCTTTTGCTTTAGGTTCATATAATAGAAAAAAATATGACGAGTATTAATTGGTATGATATGTGTATATTTTTTTCTTTCAGAGTGGTATAAAATCATAATTGAATAGTAAGTTTGTTCCTAAAACATAAGCTTTCGTTGTCTCTAGTTTTAGTTATGGTAAGATGAAATAGTGAACAAATTCTAGAGAAAAGAAGATGTCGGCTTTTTATTCGACTTAAGACAAGTGTAGATAACCGCAATTATAAATTAGATTGTAGTGATGGATTCCCAGATTCCGTGGGACTTGTACTTGTTTAGAAGCTATCAATGACATTATTTCTTTGAGTGTGACGTCCTCCGGAAAAGCTTTGACCTAATTAACAGAACTGAATGTTTTATGTTTAATGGACTGTTCTGTTGAGTTGGTAAAATCATTCTTTGAAGCAGAAGGGAAAAGTTCGAGATAGACCTAGATTATGCTAGAATATTTAAATAAATTGAAAATGGCATTCAAATCTAGAATTCTACAAGATTGAGCATAACACTTTTTCTTAGATAGTACGAAAGAAAATATCTTATTTTTTTATTTGATTTTGTACAGAAGTCGAATAGAATCAAATCAATTTCAGAGTAGCACTTTTTCGTCTGTTTTTAACCATATTGAAGAATATCTTGTGTCTTTGTTATATTTTTTGTTTTTTGAAATTTATTTTTTATTTATGATGAATATACCATGCGATACAGCGAAGTCGACACTTCGTTGTTGTATATTGATTATCAAAAAAAAAGGAAACTGAAATAGTCTTTAGCAAGAACACCAAAAGAAGAAATATAATTGAAGCGTGATGTGAATTTATACAATAGAAGAGCTTCTTAATAAATGATTTGTTTGCATATAATCAACAATAGCTTGTGCATATTTTCTGGCATTATCGAGTCGGTTTGCTGATGTACGCATTCCGTTAGGTAATTCAGTTTGAATGGCATTAATTCTTGAAATATAGTTACTTGTTATAAAACCACCAGAAAGAAAGTCAATACTGCCAGGTTTTGGATTTGCAAACGATGGATATGCAACACCTAGTCCATTGAGCTCAAGCGCTGTGCCAAACGAAGATTGTCCACGAATACATTCGTTTCGATCAGATCCACACAGTGATTCGATCGATGTTGTTACTGATAGTACATTAAGATCGTCTCGATTAAGTTGTTGACCAGTCAAAAGATATCCAACCATAGTATAACTAAATGATAGGAATTAACTTAAAAACAGTATAAATAGTGTTGTTTTCTACATACTTTCCATCTCCATGACCATGAATATCAATCAGAAGACCTCTACCAAAACTTGCATTAATTTGATTAATAGCTTGATCGATAAACGAATGATAACCTTGATAAGCAGCTATAGCTTCAGGATGGTTGAATGTTGCTTCGTTAATTTCACGATTAAAATCAACTTTCATACGACTCCATTTAGCAATAACAACTGATGGCTTATATCCCCATGTTTTATTCAACTCATTTGCTACATTTTCAGCAAATTCATCACTTCGGCTGTCTTTACTAGTTGTTGCATTACAACGTGTACCATCAGCGCAGGTATCATTGTAAAACCATGTACAGCGACCAGCACTTGGACCTGACAAACGAAGGCAGCCACCTATTGTTCGATCTGGTACATCAGAAGGTGTTCCATTCCCACCATGTGGTGCCGAAATAACAAGATTAAAGGTACAAGGTTGATGAAACTTAAATGATGATCGATAACCCAATGTGTATGGCAATGGCTGTTGTTGAATCGATTCATGTGGAAAAAAAGTAAGGGTAAGATAAAACACACCAAGAAAGACGAACATGTTTATGTAACGATAGTTAGTAATAGCAAAGTTATATATTCAAGCTTAGCACATTCAGATTATTTATATACTTAGTTGTATGTGTGTAATAGAGCGTGACTGTTGACGTCAAAGATTGAGTCAGGATTTTTGTAATACGAACGATGTAATACACATGACAAACCTATGCGTAGGACTCCATTAGTGTTTGATGTTGAAATTTCATGTGTTTGTCTTGCTCATTTTTTTTGCTAGATATTATGATGATTGAAATCTTTAGTATTTTTTATTAGTGGAAACATGTTGTATTTCCAACCTGCCTTACGATGAGGAGTATTTCAATGTATCAATCTCAGTCTCGGATGGTTACCAGAGACCGTGATCGACCATTACAAGTGACATTTGCAGATGGATGAAGGATTTAGTGATTGAAACTGGCAGAAATTCTTCTTAATACGATTCAACTTTGGACTAACTCACTCAGTCATCATCAAGCAAAAAAAACGAAAATCTCAACAATATATATTGGTGAAACATTAAATTAAATCTTTTCTATAAAATAAAAACGCTATGAATGATATTTGTCCTTCGATCAACTGTTTTTCAATCAATTTTTTAGTCACAAGACGAAGCCAACGAATATCGTGAGAAAATGTTTGAACCAGCAACCTCAAGTAACGACGAATCAAGATCAATGGTCATTCGTCATTGAAATGAGTCGTTTAGTGCACGAAGATTTGTCAACAGTGAAGAATCTTATAGCAGTTGATTTCCACCATTAACATTCGAAAAAAAACTATGAACAGTATTGTTGATGTCAGAGATGAAAATATCGAGTATGAGTGCTATGGAAAAACATCGACTCAATTGGGCAATGAAAGTATCAAGTAGATATGTAAAGTTCTATTCCAGTGTTGATCATTTACTGCTGTGCTGATGTTAAGGCTCCTTGACTGGATAAGTGTGTGCAGCCGTCATCGTTAATCATTTCGATTTTTCATCGAATTCACTTCGATAAATGATGTTCAAGTGTGGTAAGTAACGAATATTGAAGATTGATTTTTTTTTGACTGGTTGTCACATGTCTCATTTGTTTTCTTGAAACAGATGGCTGATGTTCATAATCAATGAGTCGAGCGGGTCAATGGTGCCGAACATCTCTCATCGAGACTTGTCAAAAGAGTTAACAATGAAGTGTGCTAAACGCTCGAACAGAACAAAATTGTTCAACGAGCGTATTTTTCATCAGATTATCAACAGGGTGAATAGATATTTCAGACATTCATACAATCTTTAGCATTATATAAACCTCACTGAATTATTATCTGTCAAACTATGAAAGATTTCTGTTCACTGTATTCGTTGGTATTGATAACACCGATCTCATAGCACAAAGTTCCGCTTTATGCAAAATTTTAATTTTGATTCCTCCGTAGTTACTTTGTAGTAGTTTTCTCTGAATAACTTTGAAATACATACTATATTGATAAGACTCTCAAGTAATCTTTGACTGAAGCTTGATAGAATGAATGTGGGTCCTACTTTCAAAGCAATACACTCCAATTCCACACCTACCCACACTGTCTTCCTGCTCATACTGATATCCAAGACATTCATGTCCGCACAAACAGAAACAAGCAGGAACTCACACCTGATGCCCATTGATACCTAAGCCAAGCATACCCATACGAGTCAAACACAGAAACCCAGAGCAACACCAACACATACTAGCAACCATACCTACAAATTCTCACTCGAACCGCAAATCTAATATTCTTTGATATTCAAAAGAATCATTTGTTTATGAATTAATCAATAAAACATTTCGAACAGAAGATATTGATTTATTGTATACATTTCGATTATTTATTGGTGATCTGTCAGAAAATCTTCAACGTGAACATGAAAAGATCTTAAAATTAGATGAAAACAATTGAAATGTTTATCGACGAGTTAAACTTGACAAAGAAGAATTTGATAAATTAAGAGAAAATCATGAAAAACTTATTTTAACAAATAGATATGTATCAAATAGTCGACGGGAATCATTAGCATTGACTTTTGCAGCAAAACCAATAAAAAGAACAATTGATATCATATGTATTCTTTTCCATGTTCAATGCGATATTGAACAAATTGATAAAAATATTATTTTGGCGATATTACTCAATTCAATGAATAGTCTGATGAAGAATAAGTTTTATTTGATTTAAATGTTTGTTTTCAAATTAAATCTATTCAAGAAGAAGAATTGTTACAAATACTTATAAGTAATCCAACGTAAGCGTCGCTAACTCTATATTAAAAGGAGATTATTACCTAAAATATATGGCAAATGATCATACGATAAATGATGTATGAACCGAACTATGCTGTTTTAGATGCTTCTTATACAGTGAACACAAACGAAATATATATGAATAATTATAGTGCTTGCCAATAGAAATTGTGGTCTGTGTCATTTTTTTTTGAAATCATGAATTTCGTTTGTTTAATAAACTTTTGGATATGATGAATAAATAAGAACTTCAGTATTTTCTGTAAAGAGTACAACAAAGACTTTTATGGCATTTTTAAAGTTTATGTCAAGTTCTATCGTAATTCAAATATTTATATGAAGTAAATTTTGTTTCATTGATATATCCAATTTGAAGCATAAAGATAGAAAATCGTTTAGTTATTGTAGGCCGATATCTTCTCAAGTAGTTCTTTCTAGAGAAAAGTACACTGAGTCGAATAACACAAAACCACTCATATTTCATCTCTGTTAGAAAAATTTTGTCTAATCATCATGAGCTGCTACATATGTTTAACTACATACGTAGATACGAAAAGAAAAGAGGCGAAAAATCATCGAACAAAAGACAGAAGCGAAGTTCTTATATCCGAATTGATTCAGATCAAGAAGTTTTCTTCGAGCTGCTTTCATTTTCTACCAGAATACATTATAGATTTTAGAATCTGATATATAGACCAATATTGTAGAACACATTCATCTCCATATTCATAAATATATCAATACAAATCAATTTTAAGTCGTGAAAATATTTTCAAGATACTTTAATAAATTCAATTGGGAATTAACAATAGTTCAATGAATCATGTTTTCATTATTACATGCATCTCTCATCGGATAAAAACGAGAGAACCTAGTATTAAACGTATTTCATACGATGTGTGACGTTAATTTCCCACTATTCTGGATTTTTCAGAAATCTTCACGACAGCAACTAAAATATTAACAAAAACACTTCATCATGTTCTTTAGCAATAACAATGGTTACTTCAGCATGAATATCTCTAGGGTCATTCCAAGTTTGATATAATGTCAACGAAAATATTAATTACAATAAACTTCGATTGATACTTATAAATCAATCGATCAATCAATCAGAAAAAAAATGTCCTATTGCGGGAATTTCGCTCGCATTCAATGAGCATCCCATTGATGAAAATAGTAGTGTTCAATGTACTTTTCTAACACTATCGTCACGTTTTCAATAAAATAAGTCTCTTCTAACTCATAGATGTCATAATACCATTACCCTGGGTATCCACAGCTAAACGTCAGGATATTCAACAGAGTAATCAAGTGAATTCTGTTTCACACCACACAACTAACGAAGAGGAGTAATGACTTTATTGCCCATACGCAAACTATAGCTCTTTAAGCGTGAGAAATTTGACTGAATTTGGTGTATTACTCCAAGTGTAATGGCATACCTCATTGCAGTTGATAACTATATATTCTAAAAGCAATACTGTCATAATATTATTCATCAAGATTGTCAGTATACCATCAACTCGGAATTATTTTGACTGGGTATGATCGTGTTCATAGGTCTGTATTATTATATGTGCGTATATATATTTTGACCATTCAAAGGACCCTCCCTACCGGATTTGGTGACCTATTTTTCATCAGAATACCATACATGTGGTTTTGTAGAACAAATTATGGCGCATCGAATGGTATATAAGAAATCAAGTATCTCTCAAATTTTGATGTGCTCAGGACTCATATACTGGTGATAGCCCGTGAGAAATGTATAAACTTCTGTGTATTTTTTGTTTTTAAACTCGATTCGATACAGTTATAGGTGCTCTTCAATATTTTATAATCAAATGTTTTCATTGTTGTTTTCTTCATAGTTAAAAATGACTATTTGCCATAGGCTTAGGCTATTTGTTAGCTCTATGATGTTCCAGTGTGCTAAATTCTGTGTCACAGAACAAATAAGCACCAACGCGAAACTTTCTTAAAAATTGCATCTTATCAAGCTCTATATACGTATTTTCATAGATAATATCTTTTAGAAGGACAGGGGTTAACAATACTCAACGATTTCATTAAAAATTTGCATGCATCAACAATCAGCAGTGCATCCCTGATGAACTGATATAAATAACTTCTTTCGAACCAGGAAAAAAATGTTTAGCCTTCGATCCTTGAAGTGGGTGCAGGATATGAAAAAAATTATTTTTGAAATGAGCATTAGATATTTATAGGTTCTCCTACAGTTTCATGCATAAATCAAATTTCGGCATGCGTAATCAAAATTTGAAGAAGAAATAATAAAAAAATAGACCTCCTTCATGCAACCTTGTTCCTGTAATCCTCTCGAGGAATTGGAAGCCAAAAATTCTTTTTCTGACTAGAAATGAGTTATTTATATCAGTTCATGAGGGATTCGGTGCTGATAGGGAGGTGCTTAAAAATTCTTAATGAAATTGTTGAGTATTGTTAAACCTGTTCTTCCGAACAATATTATCTATGAAAATACGTATATAGAGCTTGATAAGATGCAATTTTTAAGAAAGTTTCGCGTTGGTGCTTATTTGTTCTGTGACACAGAATTTAGCACACTAGAACATCATAGAGCTAACAAATAGCCTAAGCCTATGGCAAATAGTCATTTTTAACTATGAAGAAAGCAACAATGAAAACTATTGATTATAAAACATGGAAGAGTACATATAACTTTATCTAATCGAGTTTAAAAACAAAAAAATATACAAAAGTTTATCCTAGACCGTCGTAGGAACTACAATTTCTATGACTACTATAAATATTTCTCAAGAACTATCAACAGTGTATGGGACTTCAGCACATCAAAATTTGAGAGAACCTTGATCTCTTATATTCCATTCGAGCAGAACATATTTGTGAGCAGATACAACGTGTTAAATTATTGCTGGAGAACGTAGTCTTTTCCAAATACATATGTGATGAATATGGCACTCGTATATTTCGACAAAATGTTTTGAATATGCACTTTGTTTTCTGAATTTAGTTTTATTTGGAAGGTTTTTTTTTTCTAACTACTAGTCTTTAATAACCCAATCGTTTTTACCAATTTTACAATTTAGATTTTCTGTTATTGATCGAACAAATAATCTTAGAAAAAAACCTGTGGCCATATTGAGCTCATTCGACTTCGACGGCAATACAGCGATGTGTCAGCTGCAGAAAAAGTTACGACGAATAAGAAAATTAGCGACATTTGTGAGACCATTATGCAATTGATTTCATAGTTCCACTTTGAACATTACTCAAAGAAACGAATGATGGCTACGTGAACAATAATCAAGTTCGCCTGTAGGACCGAGGACAAAAATCTAACTACTCTAACAAAAGCTGACTTAGTTTCAATTAAATAATATGAAAATAACCTTTACAATTGTAACTCCCACTCTACATACCACTAAGACAAGAAAAAAAATGAATTAAGCAGGATGAGTCACTTTCGCACTTCTCATATGAACATGTTGTCAATTGAGTGATGCATTTCTGCATCCTGGATAATAAGAACTGATTTTCTCACGATGGAAATCATCTATCAAGAGAACGTTAGTGTCAATGCTTGTTAAAGTCTGTTTCATTGTTATCATTTGACAACAACGATGACTAGCTGAGAAAGTGTTTCTTTTATTGAATTTTAATATTGAAAAAAATTAATTTTTCTAGTTTAGACTACAAGGAATTCGAAACTTTGACATGTTTCCGTCTTTGGCATCTCAGTAGTTTCTCATTGTTAAATCTCTTTTTCACTGCATAGCGTTCACAAAAGTCTAATGAAAAACGATGATTTGTCGAAAAGATATTTTCACTCGTTGGATATGTAGTCGAATCGAATCGATGATAGTAGTTCGAACATGGCACACATGTAATAAAAGTGCTATGAAAGATACAATTATAAATATAATAAATAATCCACCTATCACATCAAGTGAAAACGTATCATTTTTGTTTTTTCCGCCTGTTTCATCTTTGCCATATAATGATTTTGATGAATCCAAACATTTTTGTTGTCCAAACCACTTTTCCTCGAGTTGTTCTAAAAATCCCGAATCACGCATGGACTGAATGTTCTGGTTTAAAGTGGTTTTGTATTCCCAATCTTTACGCATAACAATGCCAATGGGTGATTTGAGTGTTCCGACACCAACCACGATTAATTGCCGACAAAAATGATTCGCAATAGCATATTCGAGTACAGACGAACCCCATAACGCGGCATCAATACTATTGTCAAGCAATCGTGCAAAAATCTCGTCACTAGTTGAAAGAGGATAATAGATGGACGAAATATTTTGAACATAATAATCGGCAGTGGCAGAATTTGTTGGAATACCAATTCGTGAATATGGTAATCGACCATTTTTAATGTCGTCAATGCCTGAAATCCAAGGCTGAGTTCGTCTCAATGTGAGAAATGAGGATAGATTCGCCGTGTAAATAGCAACAATAACCGTGCCCAATGCGTTGAGACCGATCGTTATTATTCGACTAGACATTCGAGTCAAACGAATATCATGATCAAAAGACATAAGACTACTTAACATTCGACATAGTTCAATAATCATAACTCGAAAATTCTTCGCTTTAGTCATTTCATTCGTGTTACTTTTTCTTTCGAAGTAATAAAGAAGAACACCTGAATAGATGATGATTGCAGCAAGAACAAGCCAGACATCCCAAGTGAATGGACTAAGAAATGAAAAGAGACTGAAGGCCGACGAATAGGAATTATCCCGAATGACAACACGAATTGTATTCTCATGAATTGGTACTGAAAAGTCAACACTAAGAAGACGATTCGTGGTGATCCGAATATCTGATATACTCATGTGCCATTGACTGTTGTTTTCAGCTACCATACTGACTAACTTATGATAAGGTGTACCTGATGGAACTACGTGAATAATATAATTAAAATGCATTCTTTTCTTTAGTTCGTCTACCACATCGGCTAAAAAATCATAAACGGTTACATTCGGATCGGTAGTGTTCAATGCATTTGATCGATGGAACAATTCTTCATTTTTCCTTAGTCCGTCGAGAGATTTTTTCGGAGATGTAGCATTATAAATCATGAAGAATGGCGCTGATTCAATGATCAGAATACGCAATGTTTCGCCTATACAAAAAAAAAACAAGATATTTTTTTTACAGGCTTCTTAAATTAGATTAATGCTGATCATCTTTGTAAAAAAAAAATGACTTCGATATTTACTATAAATCACAACAATTCTCCTTACCATTTCGCTTTGTATGAATTTGCTTTACCTTGAATTAGTAGATGATCACATGGTACTTCGTTGGAATTCTGAGGCCAAACGATACCATTCGTTGGAGAATCAGTCAAATTCTTCCATGTCTGTCTTGTCCCAGACCATTTTATTACTTGTTTATATTTGAGATGTCGATACGGCTCGCTTGGAGTGATTCTCGTTGATTGCAAATTATAAAGTACATAAGAAGTGAAACCAATACGATCATTTGAAATATTTTTCGCAAATTGAACAATACCCGAAACGCCAGAGAAAGACATTGCTTCAAGATTTTTATAATAAGTATCACTGTTCGTTAATAAACTATTGAAGCAAAATGGTGCGGCGGCAAGTGTAGGACTATCGTCTGACGATAATTTGTTCAGAGCTTCAATCAATGTCCATGTAGCATCAAAGACAAACATAGCAAATGAACTAATGTCAGTAAAATTTGCTGGATAACTACTTCCGTAATCTGCCGAATTGCGCCAGATAGCAAGAGCATCGTCAAGAAGTGTTCGATTAACACCTGATTCAAGACCATTATCATGTGTTTGCATTACTGTGAGAAGACCTTTCAATTTCAAACGATCACTTCCATTAAATTCACTCAATATGACCTGTTAATGACAAAATCAATAAATCATTAACAAATAGCATTATTATTTTGACGAAAGTTCTCTAAACTCTTATATCGATTGGCACATCGAAATATGAGAAGTACGTAGTTGAAAATACTGAAATCCAAATTGAAGAAAATCATTGAGAGATCAACACTGAGACGTGTTTTTCTTATTCGTATCTTAAAGAGAACATATACATTACCTGATCGGTTGTCACCCACACAAATGAGCCACCAAGAAGATTTGCTTGGAGAGCATGTCGAATGATTGTCGTCGATGTGTTCTGATTTGCCCAAACGAGTACAATACGTGATCGACTCATTTGTAATGTTCGCTTTAAATCAACATTAAATGTATTTGAATGTACATCGAATGTCAATTGGTCTTTAATCCATAGTCTTGTATTATAGCGTTCAGACATTAGTTTTAATCCACCGTAGCCATAATCATTTTTTTCACAAATCAGTATACATGATGTCCATGAAAATTGCTTGAAAAGTTCGACAATCGCTTCAACAAGCAACCTATCTGACGGTACAGTGCGATAAAAAGTCGGATACAGTCGACTATCGGAAAAATCAGCATTGGTTGCACTATATGAAATAAGTGGTAAACCAATTTGAGCGGCGAATGGAGCTAGAAATCGAACATCGTTGGAAGTAGCTGGTCCCACAATGCCTACAATGCTTGCCTCTCTATGATCGCTGCTATGCTCACATATCAGATGAAGTGCAGAAAATCTATTGACATCGGTCATTGTTTCGATAATACTATAGTTGATAGGATGACCACCAATACGAATTCCATATTTATGAGAAAGCAAGATGGCTGTATGAAACATGGCCATCGCTTGAGTTGACCACCGAACAGTGTTGTGTGATTCAAGAACATCAGATTCAAGTTGATCTGGTTTTGGAAAAAGACCAATAATTTGAATGCGATCCGAAGACACAACAAAAACACGAACACATATCAGAATAATGAGGCGAGTTAGTGCCATGGATGTGATCTGCTCAAATGAGCGATTTATAGATAAAATACGAACATCTACAATTATGTGCGCAGATGTGTTTTTATGCACTTATGAACAACGGATATAATTTATGTTCTGTCAAGCGCATGGTTTAGAAACAAGCAAATATTGAACTTTCTATTTAACATAGCTGTTGATCAAAGTATTTTCCATCCTTATCTTCAGTATTATTGCTTCTCAACATATAGTTTGACTTTTGCATTTGGATTCTTATTCCCTCGATCAATCAAACTTTGTTGTTGTTGTCAGCTGTCGCTGTATTCATTCTTTATCAACTTAATAGTAGCAGAAGTTTATCTGCAGAAATAAGCAATAATACCTGACATTCTTCCTTGCATGATATATTTCTATTCTATTTTAAAGAGACAACAACCAATCTGATTTGTCAACAGTTGACATTAACACAGTCAACAATATATTGTAATAAAATAATCATCGAATAACTTTGCTGGGACAAGTCAAGCATAGTAACGTCAAAATAGGATAATTTCTCTACAATCTTTACTATTGACAATCATTGTTATCTTCTCTCTTGTTGCACTTATGATAATAACAACTGAAAAAAATCACTTTTGAGCAGCAATCTATTTTCACTTTTGGCCGTTATTATGAGACAGTTGGACACCTATCTGACTGACAAACAGTGATAAACAGTATACCAGATATATTCATAAAGATTTTTCAGATTTGGGCATTCACATGTTTTTTAAGTGAGAATGTGAGTGTGGACTTTACAAAAAACGGTCGAATAATAAACCTTTTACGGGTTTGCAAAAGTGTAACGCATAATTAATACTATTTACTGTATGCGAAAATTTTCATATATCCTTAAAGAGCGTATTATACGTTGCAATTTCATAAACCCTTATAATGGTATTTGAGATCCAAATACTCTCTCATATACCCTTTGAAAAGGTATATAAAATGGTTACTCATACATTTAAACTTACCGTTACATGGTTAAATTAAGATACGTAAATTTTGAGAAAAAAAGAAAATCACTTTATGAAATAATTCTCTTTTTTCTTTAGGATTATCTTAGTGAAACAACGTAATGATAAGTTCAGCATAACGTTAAAAATAATTCTAAAAAAAATTATTTTATGATCTGTGATTCGGTGAGTGTACGAGAAAATGCACTTTGGAATACACTACTTTTATTGGATAAATTTTTTACAGAACATTCTCTGATTTTGCTTCTTCCTCACAAACACTTAGGTTAAACCCAAAATGAAGTTCACAATAATGAACAGGCAAAAATAGAGGATATTTTATCAAAAATTTATCGAATAAAAGTAGTGTACATATCAAAGTACGTTTTTTCTTAGACTCACAAGGCCACAGATCATTATTCATTAAGTTGAAGTTACCATTATATTGTTGAACTAAGATAATTTGGAACAAAAAGAAAAAAGAAAATCACTTTGGAATGATACGTTAAGCTAAATCCATAAATTTTTCCTTTCGTTAGAATTGTTTTACAGATTGAGTTGGACTTCCCAATAAATTGTTGAATAAAGATCAATGTAAACACAAAAAGGGATCGGTGGTTAGTGCAGCTCTTGTGGTACTGAAAAATGATAATCCTACCCCTTTTTTTACATGATTGCACTGATACACAAAACGTATAGTGAAAAATTCCTCGTACAATTTATTTGATTTCCAAGAAAATCAATCACAAAATAGACAATCTATGTTAGTTAGCTTTCCATGTCGAACTGATATTTTTATTTATAATGCTGCTACTCGCTCGTTATTTTTTTCGTATGTTTTCCCCTAATCTAACAGTAATATCATTCTAACCATTGCTTGAACTAACAAATAAACCTGTTATACATTTTCATTGTATCTATAGCAGGTATCAACAGGCTATTTTATATCTTTATAAGCGCATAAATACTGAAATTAATGATTTTTCAAATTTACAACTTGATCAATTCATCTGTTTTGTTATGATGATCCAACGGCGACTGTGACAAATCAATGCATCACTATCTATCATTCTTGACATCTCGAATATAAACATTCATCTGCGTAAAAGTCAAAAATGCCCGATTGAGAACATTGACAAATGTATTCTATCTATTCGAATTTTTAGGAAGACTAAGGAATGTTATAGAGTTGTTGAAGTTTTGTTGTTCCGCGCTTTTTCAGTTTCTGGTCAATTCAGGCAGCGGAGATTGACGCCTACGGTCTGCAGTTGCTGAAGTCTTTAATGGAGCGAGGGTTATCGCTGTAATGCGGCAAAGAAGATGGGAAGATCATTTCTGATTTAGCAACTTGCACTCCTTATTTTCTTGGAGAATATATGTGAGTCCTACAAGAATTCAAAGCTTTCCTGATTAAGCTGATCGAATTTGCTTACAATTTATTAAACCTGGATGGAAAAAATTTATTATCATTAATACAGAAAGCAGAAAATTGGCTAAATTTTTTGTTAATCACAGAAAAATGGACTAAAGGGTGTGGTGGGTGTGGATCAGAGATGGGTATAGGACAAGATTTTCTCTCCTGTCCTGTCCTGCTAGCTATCTCAGTCCTGGCGGGCAGCAGGACAGGACAAGACGTCACGATTTCTGCCGTTTTTCTACCAATTAAATCCATTTTCACAGGTTCTAAAATGCCAAGAGTGAGTTTTACCTTTACTTTCATTGTACAAAGCAAATATCACCAATTAATATTTTCTAACTAATTCATTTTATATAGTTTTCAAGAAAAAAAAATATTCGAGGTGAGCACAGGACAAGGATTTTTTACCTGTCTTGTTCTGTCCTGTTAACTTTTCTGTCCTGGCGGGCGACAGGACAGCACAAAAATAAAAATCTCGTCCTGCCCTACAGGACAGGGCACCAGGGCACCAGGGCACCAGGACCATCCTGTCCTGTGCTCATCTCTGGTGTGGATGTGGGTGTGTGGGTGTCGGTGTCGGCGTGAATGTGGGTATAAGTGAAGGGAATACTTAAACCACGCTCACACCCACCCACACGCACACGCACACGCACACCAACACCCACACACCCACACACCCACACACCCACACCCAAACACACACACCCACACCCAAACACACACACCCACACCCTTTCCGCGGCATCTGTAAGCACAGACAGAAGGGAAATTGTACCGGGGTGTGGGTGTGGTGGACAAACAGACACATGAGACAAAACACTTGCTATGCAGAGTAACGGAGTAAGCATCCACCGAGCGTGTGGGTGTGAGTGAAGGGAATACTCGCACCACACCCGCACCCACATTCACACACCCACACCCACACACCCGCGCCTACACCCTAACACCCACTCACACCCAAGCCACACCCACATCCGCCTTGCCGCGGCATCTGTGAGCACAGGCAGAAGGGACATTCTACCGAGGTGTGGGTGTGGTGGAAAAACAGACACATGAGACAAGACACTTTCTATGCAGAGTAATGGAGTAGGCATCCACCGAACCCAAACTTTCCAGATTTGGACATTCTCGATACCTAAGCTGCTGGTTTTACTTACTCGTGTACTTTGGTCTGCATTAACCATTCAGTGAAGCCGGCAATGACCGCATCCGAGAAGTTCGGGCTTGTCATTCCCAGTGTGGTCTCCGATTTTTCTGATGTCTAGCAATGACCCATCTAAATTAATAACTTAACTCAGCAGTTTCGCTGCCCCGGAATGACCGAACCCGGGTTCAGTACATGCCTACAACGGAAAAATTTGAGGAGGAAGGAAAAAGAGATGAACGTTTTAGTTGACGATTTCTGTCATCACCCGCAGTCGTAGGGGTTTCATCTAGGCCAGTAGCAAACACTGTTATGATAAGACCAGTAACTTATTTTCCAAGATTTTCGTTATCAACTCGAGTGTCGTGGTGAGAACGGCAAATAATGGGGTAAGTTATCTTTTATACACTGATAGAGATAAGTGTTCTATTCATTCGATGAGTAGCTGTCTACTGCGAGTTATAACATAAATGAAAAAATTGCAAATTCTATCAGGACACCTTAGGCAAAAGGCAAAGGATGGAGTTTTGCCACAATTATAAATTATGATCGTGGCAAAACTTTATCCTTTGCTTTTTGGTGAAATCGGGTGCTGGCTTGATTTTTTCTTATTTATTTTCGAAGTAATATTGTGCAGTTGAAGTTGCATTTATATTATAACTCGAATTAGACATCTCATGCATTCGATGGTTTTTACTACCTTCATATGCACATAGCCTCACCAAATTAAATGTAAAATGGAAGTTGAAATTTTCGGCGTCAGATGTACATGTTGCAATGGCTTTTTATTCTGCTATTCGTTGTCAATAATATTCGTCGAAAAGAGTCAATAATAGTTTTTTTCAGATCATAATTCTTAATATTATATTAGATTGCTGAAGGCATCCGCACTAACAACAACAATGGAAGATTGGTACGAAGGTATAATTAAAATTATAATAATGAATTTTGAAAAGAACAGTCTTTGTGAAAATTATGTTCACTTCTGTTCTAGGCAAGCAAGAGCGGCGCCGAAAAAAGGTTAACAGATTATCGCGTCAACCTACAGAGCGCATTCGTACGTGTTTTTGTTTTTGTAAAATTTATTTGCACTAATTGTTGTTTTGCTTAATTATGTTAGGAAAACGAAATAGACCAAGTAAGAAAGCAAATTTCCGACACATAAATGCGTACTATATCACATATATTACCATTTAGATAAGAAAATGCATACAGTTATTGACACGTTATGGGATTCACATATTAATGATGGTCCTCGTAACGTGCAATGTACAGAATATTCACTCTACAAAGAGCAAATTTCTACTGAAACGGATAACAGTTGCGATGATTATATTGAACAGATGGTATTTGAACCTGTTGATCATATTAGAGATATAAATTTTTCGTCGACAACAATAAAAGAAACAACAGAGGAAGGCTATATAAGATATTTGAAACATTGGTTAAAGGATAATAAGCCAATTTGTATCACACCTTTCCAACAGGCGACGTGAGCATGCGCATTTCACTGTTCCGATTTCCTATTAAATTCTCTTTGCATTACTAGATACCAATGCTATGAAGCGACACCTCAAGTTAATTCAACTATACTTGAGGACTTACAAAAGTAGAATGAATATACCGGGTAGACGTCATATTTTACATGCATTGTGTTTGAAACTATTGTAGATTATTGGACAATCCATCATCTCAAATATTGGAAAAAATCATTCGTTTTTTGGAATCAATGCCTTATCATAAGAAATGTTTCTATGCGAATGGGGAATTATCGGAATCGTTAAAGAAATTCAGTGAGTATGCAGTGTATTGTATGTTTTGATCCGTAATAAATCAAATTTTCGTGGATCTTGCTTTGGCGGTGAGTAGTAGTGTTGTTAATAGCATGTATAATAGGTATTTATATTTGCCATCGATTAGAATTTGAGCTGGAAAGGATACAAGCATCTTAAAATACTGTTGAATTAGTTGCATTTCTACCGAGATGTTTTCATCATTTTTTATTGATGTTTAAATAAAATTAAATAATGAAAGACTTTTGGTAAATCAGGTGATGTCAACAAAATAAAATATATGTGTATTCAGAGAGCTTCCATGAGCCGATCGAGTATCACTCCAATATACGAGGCACTCGATAAAAATTATTTTTTTTTTATTTGTTTTGCTCGTTCAATGCATCAATGTCTGAAACCACCAACCCCAAAATTTTAAGCTCTAATATCCTTCCTTTGAAAAGTTAGCCAATACCGACTTTTAGCACTATTGCACCTTTTTGGCGAAAAACAAGAAAAAATACCCTATAAAAGATGTACTAGCTTGTGTTTCAGCAGATCATTGAAATTTGTCGTGGTATACATAGAAAGATAGAGAATTAAAAGCTAAACAAAATAAGCTATATTGATATAATATATTGTGTAATAACTTAAGTTTCATAAAGCCAACATGGGTCAAAGGGGTCATTTTAATCAGTTCACATAAAACAGTGTACCTCCCCATGTAAAAAAAATGACCTCAGTAATCACAAAAAATCTGATTTTTAATCGATTATAATCATACGATTCTTAATCAATGGTTTACACGGAAATAATCAGAAAAAAATCAGTTTTTTTTTCAGTTTGATTATAATCGGTTTGAAATTGA